GAATGTTACAAAAGGGAATGAACTTTGAAGAGTTAAATGGTACTCATGGGTAGAGGAGCCTGGTGGGCCATAGTCCAGGGGGTCCCAAGGTTCGGACATGACTTAGTAACTAAACCACCACCCACCCATATGTTCAAATAAAGGGGAAAGATACCAGTCAAAAGAAAACTCATTACGGGACTGTTATGTATTTGCAGCTAATGTTGCAGGCTCCAATGTATAAAAGGTAGTAGGTGAAATGATGATATTAAGGGAGAATATCATCTTTAACACCCTTGGGGGTGTTAAAGAGCCCTGAAGAGGTGACATTTAGTTCATTCTTTGGGATGAGAAGGAGCCAGTTGTATGGGAGTCCCTTCAGGACCTGAAACAGAATCAAGTTGGGCATGAAAGCAGGAACAGAAAGAAGGATTTGGGGGGTGACTGCCATGAGATAAGGTCAAAAAAAAAAACCAGTCATGAAATAGGAGAGTCTAACATGTAGTAAAAGTAGGGAAATGGAAGGGATATTTATGCTGGTCAGCACTGAAGAAATGTTGGTGAGACTTTGATCTATTTGATACATAGATAGAACAATGATAGTGACATACAAATAATCAGCAGTTGAGGGTAGGTTCAAAAATAATGATGATATGGTCAGAAAGAGAGAATTTAATAAGTGGAAGGGGAGTTCAGTTTGAGTGGAAAGACACTGAACTATAGTTAGTGAATTGTCATATACTTAGTCCTCATCAGTCTTTTATAATTAATAAGAAACACAAAATGATGGACTGTTTATGTGTAAGATGAACCATCTTAGGGAAGTTGATCAAAATGAGAAAATAGAAGAATTATCAATGGATGCAAATAAAATGTGAGCTAAAGGAAGGAGAGAGGCTTATGCCTCTGAAGGAAAGAAAAGTCAACAGAAAGACCAAGGAGAGCACCAGTATAATGGCATGTACTACACAGAACAAAAGACATTTAAGGAGTCAAGCCCATCTGTGTCCAAGAAAGCCACTAATTTAAAAGCAGTGGAGGATGTGTTTCAGAGACATTTTTTTTTTTTTTATTTTCAGAGGCATGGTGTGGTCACAGCTAGGTTCCATAGGTCATGAATTTGTGGAAAAAGCTAGTGGTAAAGAAGACTGCCAAGAGGACTGGGGAAGATGAACAGAGTGGCACAGAGTCCTTTGAGTTATTTTCTGTGGCAGAGGAAAAAGATACATTCTCAAGGATAACAAAAAGTTTCTATATAGTGAAAATGGTTTGGTTTGAGGGCTCTTCCTGTCTCATCACTGGAGAACTTCCTAAGTTAATGGCTATCCACGAGGACATGGTCCTGACATGTCAAGGAAGCCGCTGTGAAGGATTCCAGAGCCCCTTTTATCACCTGTGTCACTATGAAGCTGCTGAGTAATTGACCTTTCAGGGCTGAAAAGAGTAATGGCTGGGAGCCTTGTAATTTATCATTAATATCCCTATTTGGCTTGCAGTCTCTTTTGTTGTTGCTTACTTGCTAAGTCATGTGTGACTCTTTGCGACCCCATGAACTGTAGCCCGTCAGGCTCCTCCGTCCATGGGATTCTCCCAGGCAAGAATACTGGAGTGGGTTGCCGTTTCCTTCTCCAGGGGATCTTCCTGACCCAGGGATTGAACCTGTGTCTTCTGCATTGGCAGGCAGGTTCTTCACCACTGAGCCACCAGGGAAGTCCTATAGTCTCTTACTATAACTAATACCATTTGTTACATCATTCACAGATTATATAAAAGGCCACACAGGAGTAATCACACGTGAGGAGCACCACTGCACCTTAGCTGTGCCCAAACTGATTAAGCCTCGACAGAGCTGAGCCTGGCAGGTCTTGCCCTGACCTAACACTGGGACAAAACTGTGCTTGTGATAATGGCCTTTCCTGCCAAAGCGGTAGGGGGCTTTGCATGCCCCGCTTGTACTGGCAAAGGCTAATGTGTTTTTTTGGTCTGTTCTCAAAGGGGAAGTCAGCCAGTGTATTGCAAATCACCTTTCTCCCATGGTAATAGGATCTTAGGCCATTAGAAAACACATACTAGTTTGTTTTTAGCTAATGGAATGGACAGGCGTCCATTTTATTGGACTTTGCTTTGTTACTATTATGTAGATATTGTGTTGTTTACAATTTGAAGCTTTGTGGTAGTGCCATGTGGAGCAAGTCTATTGGCACCATTTTTCCAACAGCCTCTGCTCACTTTGTGTCACCTTTTGATAATTCTCACCCTATTTCCAACTTCTCATTGTTACTGTATTTGTTACTGTCGGGACAGTGTGTAATTTCCTCGGTTCTGTCTCCTCACAACACAAATTTGAAGTGATGGACCAGTCAGTGTTAAAGCCCTCGAACAGACCGTGTCACAGCTCTCGGACAGATCAGTGTTACAGCCCTGTGTTACAGCTCAGCTTTATTTAGAAAATAAAGGAAAATAAATCCTCAAGATGTGAGGGCATGCCAACCCAAGAGACGCAAAGAGAAGAGAGAGAGAGAGAGAAAGAGAGAAAAAGAGAGAGAGAGAGAGAGAGAGACCCCCGGCCCTTTGGCTCCTCTTTTTATGTTTTTTCTCCTCCCCCGGACCTGCCCCACGTAAATTGGGCTAGCCAGGAGTGCTGTTTGTTCTACCTGAGGTCCTCACGCCTGTCCTCGGACCTTCCTTTGTTCTGTTTTCGTGGGCTTTTCCCTTGCTTGTCTTTTAGCCACCACCATTCTGGACTCCTTTTTCCTATTCTAACTGCCTAACATTATGATCTGTGATCAGTAATATTTGATATTACAAAAAGATTAATAGTTCTTTGAAGACTTAGATGACAGTTGACTTTAACAGTGTTTTTAATTAAGGTGTATCCATTATTTTTTAGACATAACACTATTGCACACTTAATAGACAATAGTAGAGTAGAAACATAAATTGTATATGCACTGGGAAACCAAAAATTTATGTGACTCATTTATTGTGATATGCTCTTTGATTGTGGTCATCTGGAGTGAAACCCATAATAAAGTATATCTGTATATAGGAAAGGTAAAGGTAAGTATTCATAGCTCTGTACACAGTATTCTCACTGTTATTTAAACTTCACAGCAATCCTTCAAGTTACATTAGAATTATTACTTCCATTTTTACAGAGAAAATGAACACAGAAAATACACATCAGTGCCCCTAGACCACACAGTTAGTAGACAGTGGTGCCAGTGTTTGAATCTAGCTTTGTCTAAAGTCAAATCACTCACTCACTAGTACAGCTATTAGTGGTAAAATATTAGCTATTTACTGAAAGCCTTACTGTGTTCTTCTTACCCTGAATTATAATTATTTACTGATAGAAGTAATGTGTGTAATTTATTATGTCACAAACATGAAAAGAAAATAGTTGAGTACTGAAGGTATATGCAGACAATATTTACTAGACCTGTGAGGTTCTTCAGAGCAGAGTCTGGACTTTTGTAGTTGATTTTTTAGTCTGTTAAATGGACAGCCTGGTAGAATTGTAGGAAGCGCTCACTGAGTTAATGAATGGATGGATTCTTTTTGATAAGGAGAGAGAGTGTGGGTATCACAGCTCTCCCAACACAGGGCCTCATAGATTGATCAGTGTGATCTGGGAAACATAAGAACCTCTGAGCTAATAACGTGCGAAATTGCATTTACTCTGCCATTAAAAAATTATATTTGACAGATCTTCATTTCACTCAGANGTGCGAAATTGCATTTACTCTGCCATTAAAAAATTATATTTGACAGATCTTCATTTCACTCAGAACTTGACTACTATACTGAACTGGATGTTTTTTCTAATGGGTAGTGGAAATCATTAGGGAAAAAGCCCTCTCAGTTTTCTCTTAACAATACTGATGTAAAATTACCTCTAAGTCTTTGAAATGAAGTGATCTCAATATAAATAAGTTTAGGACAAACACATGTGTGCACAGATACACATGTTCACAAATGCACACACACCTAATGTAATTACTTAGCCTCTTTCTCCTATATATCTATATATATATAGCATAATAATATAAATATAAAATAAAAATATGTATTAAAATATGAATATGTAAATAAAATATTAACATAAGTTATATACATTTATATAGTATATTATGGGCTTCCCAGATGTCCTAGTGGTAAAGAACCCACCTGCCAATGCAAGAGACAAAAGAGAGGCAGATTTGATCCCTGGGTTAGGAAGATCCCCTGGAGGAGTCTGGAAACACACTCCAGTATTCTTGCCTGGAGAATCCTGGACAGAGGAGTCTGGTGAGCTACATTCCATAGGGTCTCAAAGAAGTCGGACATGATTGAAGTGACCCAGTGTGCATATGGTATATTATATATTTAATATATAATATATGTATAATATGTAATTATGTATATATGACTTATAGGATTTCATCATATGATTGCAAAAATAAAAAAAAATTCTAGATAGTGGAAAGGTGTAAGCTGGTACTCTATTTCCTGGCTAATACTTCAGTGCCTTTGATTTTCTTGTTCTTGTGCAGGTGAAGACAGATGATAGAGTGGTTAAGATGGACCTTGGTTTACTCTTCCTAAGAGTACGCAGAATGGATGCTGGGACCTATTTTTGCCAGACAGTAGAGCATAGTTTTGTTCATACAATCCGTAAAATCACTCTGGAGGTAGTGGAAGAGGAGAGAGTGGAGGAGATGTTTAACAAAGACTTTGAAGAGGATAGGCTTCATAAGATGCCTTGTCCAGCTCAGAGCATCATCCCACGTGGGACAAAACCATGGTACAAGGAATTCTTGCAGCTGATTGGTTATAGCAACTTCCAGAGAGTGGAAGAATACTGTGAAAAGGTATGGTGCACAGATAAGAAGAGAAAAAAGCTTAAAATGTCCCCGTCCAAGTGGAAGTATGCCAACCCACAGGAAAAGAAGCTCCGTCCCAAAACTGAGCACTATCGCCTGCCAACTCTATTTCCTGGCTAATACTTCAGTGCCTTTGATTTTCTTGTTCTTGTGCAGGTGAAGACAGATGATAGAGTGGTTAAGATGGACCTTGGTTTACTCTTCCTAAGAGTACGCAGAATGGATGCTGGGACCTATTTTTGCCAGACAGTAGAGCATAGTTTTGTTCATACAATCCGTAAAATCACCCTGGAGGTAGTGGAAGAGGAGAGAGTGGAGGAGATGTTTAACAAAGACTTTGAAGAGGATAGACTTCATAAGATGCCTTGTCCAGCTCAGAGCATCATCCCACGTGGGACAAAACCATGGTACAAGGAATTCTTGCAGCTGATTGGTTATAGCAACTTCCAGAGAGTGGAAGAATACTGTGAAAAGGTATGGTGCACAGATAAGAAGAGAAAAAAGCTTAAAATGTCCCCGTCCAAGTGGAAGTATGCCAACCCACAGGAAAAGAAGCTCCGTCCCAAAACTGAGCACTATCGCCTGCCAAGGCACGCTCTGGACTCCTGATGGGGTGAAACCTTCTACTGGCTTCTGAAAAATTTATATTTAGAAACTAAAAAAAAAAAAAGAGAGAGAGAAACCATATACTTTCTTTGCATTGCTTAAAAAGAGTTTTCTGTAATATAGAAAGGACTATAGAGGTGATATCATAAATTGTTCTATATACTCATTTGACAGGTTAACCTCTCATAAAATTAACTAATTTTTTTTAAAACCATGGATTTCTCAATGATTTCACATTCTGTTTATCAAAAGATGACCATAGCTGTAGCTTTGAGTAGTTGGCTGCTTTTCCATGGCAGTTATTATTTTACTCTTAAGATTAATGCAATATTGCTGAAAAATTAGATATTTTCATAATCATGGCAAAAATAAATGTTTTAATCTTTATGAATTTTGCCTTTCCACCACAATGTAAAATATGTAGATTATCACATACTTTAACATTCTCATGTGAACCATCTGTACTCTTTTAAATATTAATGTAGTAGTGTTGTGTCTAAGCCATGAGCTTTATGAAGCAGGTCTGTTGTAATTATTGTAAACTATGAAAGAAAAATTGTGGTCACTTTGAGGCTTGTGTCCTTCCTAAACCGTTCAATAATAAACCACATTCACAATAGTTCTGTTTCAGAAGGAAAACACATTCTTTGAATTTCACTCCAGGGCAGAAAGAAGAAAGTTAATATAACATCTCAAAGACAGCAAAGAATGTCAAGACAGATGGAGTGACAGAAAACATTTTTGCTGCCCTCTTGTGGTAGAATGGGTATATTCTCACTTCTTTTTTTAATTCTATGGATTGTCCAGTAAAGATTAGAACCACTTTTTCAGTCAACACATCTAGGTCATTTTCAGGGAAAAAAAAAAACTAAAGTAAAAATGTGATTCTTATAATACAATGTTTATGAATAATTTATTACCTCACAAACCAAAAATGAAGTTATTAAAGCACTGAAGCCCTATTAAAACTTATATTGTAAAGATTATTTAAAAAAATAATCTTCCCAGAAATCTAAAAGCTATTCCAAGAAACATGTTTTATTTTTAAAAAAGTAAAATATTCTGCACTCAGATATCAATATTTCCTTTTAATTTTATATTAAATAGGGAAGTTGTTTCATGAGGTTCAATTAACTACCATGATGTTTAGAGCATTTTTACTTGTTTCTTATAAATATTATCAGAGGTTTTTATATTTGAAAATGATTATTTCCTGAAGTTTTTTCTCTTATTTTATTTAGCTGTTAATTTTCTGAAGTGTGAAATTCTGAGAGTTTTCATTTAACTAAAACTGAATGCAAGTGAATTACACATAATAATTATGAATATTTATTTAAATTTAAGTTTGAATGACATTATTCTCAGTTTTCAAAATTAGCTTATAGGCTATAGTTGATAATGTGATGTTTTGCAATTTCATTCAAGAATTAATAAATTTAAGAAAGTTTGGAAAGTTCATTAAATAAGTTGCCAAGCTCCAAAAGTCCTAAAGGAAACAAATATATTAGAAATTAACATTCTCTGAAATGCGCAGTTGTTATTTACCTAAAAATCCACTGGAGGTCATTACTGTCCATTTCAGTATAAGGGAAAGCTGTACGCGTTTCAATAAAGGCCTACCCAGGGTGGAGAAAGAGAACCTTAACCCCAGACCCGAGGGTCCTTAGCAAAGTTTGTGTCTGCAGTACTCAAAGTGAACAGATAAGGCAAAGCACCATTGAAAATATTGTTCTATTAACACAAGAGAAGGGAAGGAGGATTTTCTCCTGTATTCAGTTGTTTTTTTTTAAAGTAAGGCAGGTACAGTATAAGTGGCTATCACTTTCATCTCAATAACACACCCAAAAGCAGTTAATGAGAGCAGTGATGTTAATAGTAAACCAAAATATTTTGTAGCTGAAGAAATAAAACTGAGGAAAATAACCTTTCTGTTATGTAACTCTTAAGAATTAAATGACTCTACAACCTGTTTTAACTAAAATGAGATGATTATTTTAATAAGACCAAAAAAAAACCTTTTTAATATGCTGATAGAAGTCTGATAAGAAAATTTTGAGGACACAAGTTCACAATTTAGGGAGAGGACTAAATTTCATATATACTTATTTTTCCACCTTCTTACTTTCTGTCTGTCTGCCACCCTTTTTTCCTTCCTGTATTCTCCCCCATACATGAGTGCAGGTATACTGTCTCACAAACACACACACACACACTCACACACACTCTTTTAAGATACTGCCTTCTCAAAAGACAAACCAGCAACCTATGCTGTCCTGTCCTTCTTGAGAATCTGAAACATACCACAAAACACATTCAGCCTTTTGTTCTGTTTGGCATTAGAAATCAAATGTAGAATCTCCTTTGAGAAATGTGCAAACTTGGAAAATCACAAGTGAATTGATCCTCTTTATGCCCACTCAGGAAGGACACATACTTAGTCACCTACCTTGACCCCTGCACATTTTCCCCAGACATCATGCCCTCTGGGAACACAAGGTGAGAAAGAATCATAGCCACTCATCCTAAGGGACATCTCCATGTAAGCCACTCTCCTGCTTCTTCGGATGCCCTCTGTGGTATTCTCTGGGAAGGGAGAGGACCTGTGAATAGAATGAGCTTTGGCATAAAGTCATGTGCACCTCAGTTTTCAGTCCTGTGTACCTGTTAAGCTAAAGATGGAGATTTGTTAGCTAGAAGGACTATAACTTGAATGGAATTTACTTTATGATTTGTGAGATCTCTTACACATCTAGTCTTTTACATTAATGTTTTCTTTTGTGTTTATACTGAATATTTCAGTGCAAATTTATGAATTTGGAGAAACAGATTAAAAATAGAAGTAAACTCTAATACAAGCTCTAGAAAAAAAAGGGAACAGAAAGTCTTTGCCTGCTAAGTAACTGGCAATTCTATATACATATATATGTATATATATATATATATTAGAGTCTTTTTTCCTTCCTAAAGTTAGTTAAATACTTAGGAGATTTTTATCGAGTGTTTAATATTTACTATAGGGTATAGGGTTTTGTAAATCCTCATAGTGATTATGAACATTTGTAAAACTTGTAAAATAGAGTAAGTCGTTTTGAGTGCTTGTGTTAAGCATGAATCAAACACAGCAGCTGTTGTCCTTAAAATGCATTGTTTTCAGCTTGACAGATACATTAAAATATTAAAAATAATTACCTAGCCTTAAATAGGTATTTGAGATCCCAGGAAAAAGTGCCACAGTCATGATGACAGTAGGGAGTTGATGTTCTTTTTCTTACCATAGAGGATCACGTTGAATTACTTCTTCAAATACAGTGCTCATTTTTCAGGCCAACAACTGTTGCATTTGAATCAGATATAAATAATCGATTTTCAATGAACACTTTTGACTGTAGTATGCTATTTAAACTGGTACGTTTATTTTTCTTGGGAAGATAGCATTAAACAATTTAGGGAGAGGACTAAATTTCATATATACTTATTTTTCCACCTTCTTACTTTCTGTCTGTCTGCCACCCTTTTTTCCTTCCTGTATTCTCCCCCATACATGAGTGTGGGTATACTGTCTCACAAACACACACACACACACTCACACACACTCTTTTAAGATACTGCCTTCTCAAAAGACAAACCAACAACCTATGCTGTCCTGTCCTTCTTGAGAATCTGAAACATACCACAAAACACATTCAGCCTTTTGTTCTGTTTGGCATTAGAAATCAAATGTAGAATCTCCTTTGAGAAATGTGCAAACTTGGAAAATCACAAGTGAATTGATCCTCTTTATGCCCACTCAGGAAGGACACATACTTAGTCACCTACCTTGACCCCTGCACATTTTCCCCAGACATCATGCCCTCTGGGAACACAAGGTGAGAAAGAATCATAGCCACTCATCCTAAGGGACATCTCCATGTAAGCCACTCTCCTGCTTCTTCGGATGCCCTCTGTGGTATTCTCTGGGAAGGGAGAGGACCTGTGAATAGAATGAGCTTTGGCATAAAGTCATGTGCACCTCAGTTTTCAGTCCTGTGTACCTGTTAAGCTAAGGATGGAGATTTGTTAGCTAGAAGGACTATAACTTGAATGGAATTTACTTTATGATTTGTGAGATCTCTTACACATCTAGTCTTTTACATTAATGTTTTCTTTTGTGTTTATACTGAATATTTCAGTGCAAATTTATGAATTTGGAGAAACAGATTAAAAATAGAAGTAAACTCTAATACAAGCTCTAGAAAAAAAAGGGAACAGAAAGTCTTTGCCTGCTAAGTAACTGGCAATTCTATATACATATATATGTATATATATATATATATTAGAGTCTTTTTTCCTTCCTAAAGTTAGTTAAATACTTAGGAGATTTTTATCAAGTGTTTAATATTTACTATAGGGTATAGGGTTTTGTAAATCCTCATAGTGATTATGAACATTTGTAAAACTTGTAAAATAGAGTAAATCATTTTGAGTGCTTGTGTTAAGCATGAATCAAACACAGCAGCTGTTGTCCTTAAAATGCATTGTTTTCAGCTTGACAGATACATTAAAATATTAAAAATAATTACCTAGCCTTAAATAGGTATTTGAGATCCCAGGAAAAAGTGCCACAGTCATGATGACAGTAGGGAGTTGATGTTCTTTTTCTTACCATAGAGGATCACGTTGAATTACTTCTTCAAATACAGTGCTCATTTTTCAGGCCAACAACTGTTGCATTTGAATCAGATATAAATAATCGATTTTCAATGAACACTTTTGACTGTAGTATGCTATTTAAACTGGTACGTTTATTTTTCTTGGGAAGATAGCATTATCTTTTGGCTTTCATTATGAACTGAGTGTGTTCTGTTTGTGTTTAAATGGCTTAGTTATAAGCTGGAGAACTGTACTGGGGTATTTTTGTCTATATGACTTCCTTTTATTTGCTTGCCTGCATCCATAACAGCATGTGCCATATTGTTTCTTCTCACTGATGATAAGCTATGAGACTTATTACAACAAGGTGGCAAGCTGCAAAGACCATTGACAATGGGTCTCTTTGACTGTCACATGGATCTGCCAATGTACACTGCATAATTTGTACCATTATGTATAATTTCTATTTAGTTCAACTTATAGGATAAAGAAATAAATATTTGTGAAACCCTTAAGTGTTGTCTGAGGAGTGTTTTCTAAGTTTTTGTCTGTTGAACCCAAGTTTCATAATAATGTCAAGCCTGAATGTAAACATACAATACTGGTGAGCATTAATTTTTAAGAATTTAGAATAGAATTTAGTTCACTTTTGTTTCAAATGTATAAGTCAACTTTCTAAGAAGGAGAGTGTTCATCTAATTGCCTTGCAGCAGTTGGATTTGTGCATTCCACACCGTGTTTCTAGGACCAGTAGCCAGAAATTCCTTTCAAAGCTGCATCATCCAGGTAAGAGTTCATTCATTGGAAAATGAATGCTTTTAAGATGATAACTGGTCGGATGTTTATGATTTTTGCAAGCCTCAACTTGTATCTAAATTGCTGTCTTCCCTATCTCTGGGAGTTGGTGATGGACAGGGAAGCCTGGAGTGCTGCAGTCCATGGGGTCACAAAGAATTGTACATGACTGAGTGACTGAACTGAACTGATATTTTTCATAAGAACTTGGGCTTCTCTTGTAGCTCAGTCAGTAAAGAATCTGCCTGCACTACAGGAGACCCAGGTTCAAACCCTGGATTGGAAGATCCCCTAGAGAAGGAAATGGCAACCCACTCCAGTATCCTTGCTTGGAAAATCTCATGGACACAGGAGCCTGGTGGGCTGTAGTCCATGGGGTCGCAAAGAGTCAGGCACAACTGAGCGACTAACACTTATTTATTTACTTACTTGGGGAGGTCATTTAATGAGATTTAATGTTAAATGACTCCTCCTTTTGGGAGTTTTGTTCTCAAGGCCAACTTTATTGTATCAGTAAGTAATTATTTCCAATGTATTAAAGGAAGAATTTGGCAGCAATCTAGAGCACTGTTTCTGGCAGCTTTGTGGTAGGAGAGTGCCATTAATGGTAACTGTTGATACATGTTTCACACTTGCATGTATGTATAATACAGGACCTACTTTTAATGTAGTATTTGATGAACCCATTGGAATGGATTTGTAGATACATATTCAGTCATTAGTTGAGGGAAAGCAGGGAAACAATTGTGAGGATTAGAAATCCCATACTTGTTATTCAAAGGGAACAAAAGTATGCACACATCTTTTTATTCAAAAACTGTATGCCAGGCAGTGGAGAGTTGCTTAATAATGCCATTAAGTTATGTAAATGGATAAAGTTGAATTGCATTTGTTCTGAGAGTATGTTTTCATGGGAAATAGTCCAAATCTTCATTTTACTCTGTGTATTAAGACCCTCAACAAGAGTGTAGCTTAAAAAAATTTTTTGTGTGTTTGGAATGTTGTGAAAGTACTTCTAAATATGAATCTTGGGACTTCTGGTCAGGATGACATTAAAAAAGCCACTCTTTGACAGAGGAGCTACAATGATGTAACAATGATAGCTGGTAGATAAAAAGAAAGAAAATAGTAATTTAACAAAAAGAGAAAGAAATAGAAACATACAAAAGGAGCCTATGAATCAATATTCCAAGACATTTCAAAATATCTGAAGCTAAGTGACATCTGGAAAAAGTGATGAGAAGTGGCCTCTCAACTGGAACTGTTGGCTTAGAGCAATCTGGTTAGGGCATTCTTTGTGCCCTAAAATAGGTTTTGGAAAAAGGGGAAGACAAAATTATAAGTTCAATAGTCAAGTAAAAAAGCGAAAGAACTAGTGACAAACAGGATGATCCCTTAGAGAGTATTTGATCAATTTAACCTATTTTGAAAGAATGGTTAAAGAGTTTCTTAATTTTACATGTTTTTTTAAAGCAGCTTAAAATAATTCAAATTTATCATAAAAAGAAATTCAAATTTATCATGTGATTCCCATTAATCAGAAGTCCAGGCACAAAGTATTTCAGCTGGATTCTCTGCTTAGGATCTAAAAAGTTCAAAATCAGTGCATCAGCTGCCTGGGCTCTGGTGAAGAATCCACTTTCAAGTTCATTCAGACAAATAGGAGAATTCTGTTCCTTGTGGTTCCAGGACTGCCCTGCCCTGCCCCATGTTAATAGCAGCGTGCTATTGAGTCCCTGTCAGACTCAGACCCTCTCTGTCTTTCTCTTATGCTGCCTTTTTCTGCCTCCAGTTAGAGGAATATCTCTGTTTTTAGGCTTTGTGTGACTAGATTGGGCCCACCCAGGTAAAGTTTGTAATTTTAGTTAACATTGCTAATGTTCTTTTTGCCATGTAACAAAATATTTTCAGATTCTGAGGATTAGGGTGTGGGTTTATTTCAAGGACCATGTAAGCCCTCTTGCCCCCAAAGATTCATATTCTTCTCAAATGCAATATACATTTACCCCATCTCAAGGTCTTCTAATGCCTTACCCTGTTAGAGCTTCAGCTTGGAAGTCCTCAGTCTTCTCATCTGCTTCTAAATCAGGTATGAGTAAGGCTCTTAGTGTATCATCATTTACCCTTTGGGACACAGTTCCTATCCATCTGTGGTCCTGTGAAACTAAAGGAACAAATTTTATGCATCCAACATATAATGATGGGTCAGGCATAGGGTAATACTCTACAGATATTCTGGATTAAACAAGGAGAAAATGGCAGATGAAAATGGAGTCACTAGTCCAAAGCAGTTTGCATATTCAGCTGGGAAACCTCACATTAGGTTTCAAGGCCTTGGGAGTATTCTCCTGTGGCTCTTGGCTTTGCCCTCTCAGTATCCATCTTACCATGTATGCTCTCTATCCCATTCTTTGGACTCTTTTTTTTTTTAAATACCAAAATCAAAGACATAGCTTTTCCTAGAAAACACTAATATGAAGTACACAGATAATAACCTCAACCTTGAATTTTAGAAAAAATTGGTTTTTTTCTATTAGTACCAAGATGATGTATAATTGATTGATAGATGACATCAAATGAGTTAAGGCTGTATATAATATTCTACCAGTTTAGTGAGAATGCTAAACTGACAATTATATTTCCTGAAAGGCTTATGGAAAAGTCAAGTGAAGATAGAATGTTAGGGAAAATAATAACAAATATTTTATATTCCTAAATTGTTATGCTAAGTAATAAATATTTTCCAAGCATAATCTCATTTAACAGTGAAAAATAAAATCTCTTTGAACCAGGTATCTTTAATTACAGATGAGGATGCAGAAGTAATCTGTAGATCTTACAAACAAGAAAATAAATTAAACAATATTCACATGAAAGTCAAGGAAGTGGAACTCTGGGACCATCTGATGATGTGTGAGGGCTTCTTTCTATAATATTATATGAATATCTCTTCACCTTTTTAATAGCTTTTAGTTCAAGCCTCCATTTTTTTGCTCCTGAATTTG